ATCCTGAGGTAAAGTTCTTAACCTGAGGTACTACTTCCGGGTTAGCGGAGTTTGTAACCCAAGGTGTTTGTAACCCGAGGTACCACTGCACACAAATGTCTGTTTACAATGCACCTCTTGTCCTGGTATTTTCAGAACAATCCTATCACATCTGCCTGTCCCCTCCATCTCTCTTATGCCCTTTGAATTGTTAAGCTTGGGGACAGGGTCCGTGCCTTATTAAAAGAAGACACTCTACCCCTTTACAAAGATGCCTTCAAACATGACAACCCAGTCATGTGGGAATCCCTTGCAGATGACCACAGTGCCTGGAGACAGACAGTCAAGTCGTGTGACCAGGAGAAGGAATGACCACTGGGAGGAGAAATGCCATGGTGCATCTGCAACAGCACAACTGGACGCCTTCATCTGCCCCAGCTGCAACAAAACATGTCTCTCCTGTATTGGTCTCTACAGCCACAGCTGGCACTGCAACCTTCCTACAGTTTGACTTCACCCCCAAAGGCACACTCCTCCATTGTCTCCCGAAACAGACGGATGCCAACAACTCCTTCTATAACTAAATAGAATTGCCACTGTTCATTTTCTGAACCAGTTTTTCTAATCGCCTTGTAGTCCCTAAATGCCCACTGTTAGCAGCTTGAATAGTTTCCCTCTCTTTAGCCCCGTAACACAGAACTCATATTCAAAATTATTAATGCAGGTCTGAAAACTCTAAGTGAATTAAGAGGTAATCAACCTAGGTTATTTAATCAGTAGCCAATCTTGAATATATGTCCATGGCTTTTCTGTGAGGCCATATAGATTCGCCCAGTCTGTTGGTTTTCTAAAGATGTGATCATTCTTGTCTACACATTTATTTATCTGTGGCTTGGAACACAGAGACACATCTAGTGTATTGTGTGGTAAGACAGCCTCCTAGTGGCCATATTTGAATCTCTCTGGCAACAGTGCAAGTGCACATACTTCAAACAGAATGCTTTAGTTCCAACAACACTTCCTTCCAAAAATGTTATTTCCGATTATAGCCAACCACAAGGTATTCAGTAGATGAGATCCTTGGCTACATGACAAGTATTCTGTGGACTCAACAGTTTCTCACAGTATTTCAGAGCAGAGCTGAGAGAGTACTCATTTCCAGTTGATTTCAAAATAAATATATGACAAACACTGTGAAACTCCTAGAATTTCATGCACTGGCAAAAAACAAAACAAAAACAAAACAAAACTTAGACGTGACATTGCCATCATAATAACACGTCCCTGGAAGGAGAATAACAGAAAAGAGCATTAAATGTACAAACGGCACAAATTTATTTTAAGTTCTGGTGAAGTTGCAAATGTAACCTCTGGTCCAACACAAGGCTATTCAAGGCCACACATCTTGACTGATCTGTGTGCAACTTTCCATAGTCCTTTCTATCCATGCATAATGAGAGGACTAAATAAATACAGCTAACAAGCTTCAAACTACATTATTGGTCACCCATTTACAAACAGCAAGCAGATCCACCATTCATTGTGAGAGCCTAAGCACAGCTGAGACTCGTTGAGGAAATAAAAAGACAAAGTTGAAGACAATGTGTTTAGTCCTGTTAAGACAATTTCATGGATTAGTTTTGATTTTTCATATCACACACATACAAAATAAATACTTTAAAAGTGCATTTGCTGTACCCAGCGAGCAGTGTATAATAAAAGTTATCCTCAATAATGAACATTTCACAGTATTTAACTTGAGCAAGCTTGTTCACTACTTGATCTAGACCAGGGGTCTGCAACCCGCGGCTCCGGAGCCGCATGTGGCTCTTTTACACCTTTGCCGTGGCTCTGGGGCGGATACTAGCGAGGGGAGGAGGTGCATTGTGCGCCCCGACACTCCCCCACTACTTGATCTAGACAAACACTAACAACTGAATTTTCTGTTACCCAAAGTATTCTTTGGCGATCACTCGTAGCCGAGTAAGATTGTCTTCCATAAACACGGTTTTAACAATGAGTCCGTAAGTGACTGTGGAGGCCTATTCTGGATCCACACATCCTTCTACAGTGGGGACATTGATTTCCGGGTGGGAGTTGATCACGGTGTGGATTTGCCAAGCGTGTCTTCCTCTTAGCACGTTTCTCCCTTGCGTCCTAAGTTTGAGTGTCTTCAAAGCCCATGACACCTTTGGTAAAGGCTGTTCTCCAACTGGAGCGCTCACAGGCCAGTGATTCCCAGTTGTCAGTGTTTATACTACATTTTTTTAGATTCACCTTGAGGCAGTCTTTAAACCTCTTTTGTTGACCACCAGCATTACGCTTTCCATTTTTAAGTTCGGAATAGAGTAGTTGCTTTGGAAGACGATCATCAGGCACAGTAGTACTAAAGGTGAGTTTACCTGGTACATTCACAGTACACATAATCATGACTATTTCGAATCTAATTCATACACCCTAAACAGATGATGGCTCTTGATTCAGCCAGATCTCTATCCTGGAAAAACGGTGGGGTTTTGGGGAAGGGGAGAATAAAAAATAGTAACTTAATCAAGTAATACCACATACCTGTGCTCGGAATGAACCAGTTCAGTCAACAATATTTGCCACAAAAATCTCTGAACCTCACCCCATCCACACTACACATTTAAAAGCAGCATTATGCCACTTTAAATAGCCAAGGATTCCCCCCAAAGATTCATGGGAACTGTAGTTTAAGGATGTTGAGAGCTGTTCCAAGACCCCTATATTTCCCTCACAGAGCTACAATTCCCAGAGTTCCCTGGGAAGAGGGGTTGTTTGCTAAACCATTCTGAAAACTGTTAAAATTGGTATAATATGCCTTTAAATGCAGAGTGCAGCTAGGGCCCTACACCTGAAAGTAGTTTCCATAATTGCTGGGTGAACCAAATGTGTAGTAAGGTTGCTTTTAGTTTAGACAAAACTTTGAACTGTTTCTTGTCTATCTTCAAGTTCATTCTCTGACATTATTTTTTATTTTTTTACTCTTTAGATTCTTTGGGCCTTTAAGGTTAAATATCATAATTGTTGGGGGAAACAAATTAAACTAGTCAGATTTCTCTCTGTGTTATATGTATTGATGTTTATTAGTCATTTTCTGCTTCAGCACAGCAGCTTCTAACATTCTGAATGATTTCTTATTTTTGCCAAGGGATGATTTGGATCAACTTGAACTGAACTATGAACTGAACACGAACTAAACTAGTTGAATTTGTAAAGGGAAGGATGTGAACTGGAATCAAGTTTCTTTTTGGACAGTTTGAACCAGAATAGTTCTTTTTTTTAAAACGAAGCTTCCAACCTCTGCATGATACACAGTGCTCTTGACATGAACTCAAGCATATGTGAACAGACTGCCAGGGGATATATAGCAGAAGTTCTCAGAGGAGAGGTCCCTGTTCTGGATTACTAAGGTCTATGCAGTTCAGACTTCAGAGATGCTGCAGTTATTTATTCAGTTATTTGGAAAGGCCAAGTTCTTTGGAAAAATGTCTCTCATTCTTAATGGAACACTCAGTTTGCACTTCTTTCTTTCTTTCTTAATCAGAATGGCAGGAGCTCCTGCAGCATCCCGTCCATTTCTGAAAAGCCTTTTCCTGATTGCCACCTTCCCCTCTCTTATTAAGTAAACATTGTGTTTTTGCTTCATGAAGCCAACCTGGTAAAGTCACTGCACACATCCATTATTTTCTGCATGACAAAATGCTTTCTGGACCTCTCAATTCCTCCTTCTTGGTTTTCTAACCTTAGGAAACTGACTGCTGATATTTCCCCAAATAAGAATAATAAACTTGAAGGTACTGTTGTGTAGCTCCATCCAACCTGACCCTGGTAGAGCAAAGAACCACCCATCCCAAAGCTCCTCACCCCACCCAGTAATGAAAGCAGGAGGGTCTAAATGCTCTGCTTTCAGATTAATGTCTTTTTAGCTATATTTGGTGATAAATCTCCCCCCCCCCCCGACTGAAGCCCTATAATTATTTCATTTTTACAGGCAAGATCAAAATTATTGTATAGATCAATGGACTTTCACAATTTCATTGCTTTACCACTATTCTTGTGCATTTCCCCTGCATCCCATCACTCTATGATACTGCTTTTAATCAGAATTTCTAAAATTAATTTTTTGAATTAGAGTATTGCCAGTGTGTTGCATCTTTCAGTTTATTTGCAACTCTCTCCTACGTTAATGATACGCATTGGGAATATACTAGAAAAAATATGACAATATGTATGAATACATCAATATCCTTTTTGTGTAGTGTTTCAGAAATGCACACGTGCACACAAGAAGAATCTTAATGCAGCGGTAGGTACAATCACATCCAGCTTGTTTGTTGCAGTCTTTAGCCCAATGATCTTGCACACTAGAAAAAGGCAACAGGGAAAGAATCTAAATACCATCACGCATGGAGTCCTCTCTTGATTGACAAATTTGCATGGATACACTGGCAAAGGAGAAGAGAAAGTGAATTTAACCAACGAAAGAAAGAAAGAAAGAACCTGAAAATGTGTTTGTTTGTTTGTTAAATGGAATAATTGAGTATTCCTAATGCACCAGTAAACCATACCAGATACCGCCGAATGGGAGAACTTCAAAAATCACCCTCGCTTACAGTTTGCCTTAAAAGGTTTTGTCTCATATGGTAGCAAAACAAATACCGTATTTTTTGCTCTATACGACTCACTTTTTCCCTCCTCAAAAGTAAGGGGAAATGTGTGTGCATCTTATGGAGCGAATGCAGGCTGCGCAGCTATCCCAGAAGCCAGAACAGCAAGAGGGATTGCTGCTTTAACTGCACAGCGATCCTTCTTGCTGTTCTGGTTTCTGAGATTCGGAATATTTTTTTTCTTGTTTTCCTCCTCCAAAAACTAGGAGCGTCTTGTGGTCTGGTGCGTCTTATAGAGCGAAAAATACGGTAATATATTTGCACACACTGTAGTGTGATATGCCTTCTCAAGTGTGTTGACACCATTATTTCAAACCCAACAAATGGAAATATATTTTTGGTAGACTTTTATTCCATCCTTTTGGCACAAGATATAACTTAAAGACAATCATATTTATAAGAATGTCATGGGCAGATGTTTCCCTTGTTAAAACGGGGGGGGGGATCTTTAAAAATGGCAACGTATTGCCACCTGCTGGCCCTAAACATTCTTGCCGTTTAGCTAATATTTGCAGGAACATCAACATTTAACAAATATGACATTGCATTTTTGGCACAATCTTCCTGTAAAAAGGTCATACTTAGTCTGGAATCTATATATGGGATTCAGTAAATACTTGTCCCTTAAGGTATGCAAGGATTTTTCCATAATACTTTGGAAAACTTTTTTTAAAAGGAAAAGTAGTACTTCAATTATTAAATTTGGATTCCAGTTTACTTTAAAATCATAATATTTATAAATATATATTATATACTGTGTATATAAAGTTGCAGTTTATCTGGAATGGGAGGCAGGAATTTGAGCTCCCTTTGTTTGGTTGGTGTAGGCGCGGCCTTGCTTCTGAAGGGTTAACAAAATTGCCTTCTAATAAGATTCTAAATATATATATCTATCTTTACCATATTGCATCAAATTTTTAATTCTTTTGCTTGAAAGCAAATAACATGGTACATACACTTACTCTCTAACTTGCTCACTATAAAATATATGGCTTTTTAACTGTTTCATCCCACATTAGTGTTTTTCGTAGGCAGTGAAAATATATGTCTCCCACAGACAGGCTAAATTAAAAGCACAGAAACCAGCTTGTGCACCTTCAAGAGAGCCTCAATGCATCTTGTGGTAATATAAGTGCAGTGATTAAAATATTTTTTTTTCTTTTAAAAAAAGCAGTTAAGGTTGCTTGTTTTCTGCATATGAACACAATACTACCGTACCAAAAAAAACCCCAAAATAACTTTTGCAGAATATACAAGCATCTGAATGGCAGATACATAAATACATCTTAGCAACACCAAGGCTGTAGTTTTTAATGTACACACAGCTTATATTTTACAGAGTGGTTAGATCTGGAACTGTCATGTCATTTTCCCTTCCTCTGATGATTGCAAAACCAGCAATATAATTCTTTTTTCATATTTTTTTTTTACAATGCTATTAAAATTATTTTATAAAGTGAACGTTGTTGTTGTTGTTGTTTTAAATTAAATGACATTTGTTTGCAATAAAAGCTATAATCCAGTCCACCATTACCTTTCCTTCTTCAGCTGGAAAAAAAAGCATGGCCAGTGCTGGTTTCTACTCATACTAATGTTTCAGGAAGGGCATCTGGATTATCAGGCGATAAAATCTCCCAGATCTGCCATCGATCCCTTTGCCAGTCATGCCAATCTGGTTCTGACAGATTTTTACTGTTCTGCTCGCTGTCTGTGGTGGAGCACTCTCTCTCCGTTTTGTCCGGCTGCTCCTCAAACAGGGCAGACTGTTCAGGCACCTGCGCCATTATTCTTGCTCCCGTGGCCCCGGATCGGGATTCTGCCCTCTGGAGCCTCCACAGCGGATGTTCTGCTGGAGAGACCGTTGGCTGAAGGCACGAGGAAGAACTCTGCTTTGACTTGTCAGGATAAGGTGGCGGCGGAGGCCTATCTTTCCAAAGTGCTTCGCCCTGCCTCGGGTACATCGGGTTCACTGCGTTGTGCAAACAAGCGGCATCCGAGTCACGCTCCGCAAGGTGCTGTGCGTTACTCGTAGGAAAATGCTGCTCCGAATCACACTGGCTGGAATTCCTCCGGCCAACTTCCATTTGCGGGGTGCTGCAAATCCGAGAAAGGGGAGGATGAGGGCGGCATTCCTGAAGGGCAGTTGTTGTCTGACTCCTTCGGATAATTTGCTTTCCATTGTCTAATTCTGTGGCACTCCCCTGCCACCGAGGTGAAGACAGGTTCCCTTGAGAAAGAGAGCAGTGCCCTGGACGCAGTGAGCTGCTCTCGTAGATGTCTCCATATGACCCTACAGGCCCATGGAAAAGGTTTCGTCAATAAAGCATATAGTAACTTTCAACACAACATTTAAGCAGCAGCAAAAACACAGGCACCAAGATCTTACATAACGTATGCACAATTATATTAGGACAGGACTGCAGCCTACTAATATAAAATACTGTGGGTGACTTTAATACACATACCTTTGATCATGTGTGCAAGCTACCCTAAGGTAATATAGCCAAGGGTAGTCTGCTTTGCACTGGAATGCCACCACAATATTTTGACTATCTAGGGCCTTCAGGAGAACCTAGTTCTCTGCTTGAAATGTCAAAATATAAAATGTTGCACCTGAGGTGCCAGCTTTTTTCTTTTTTAAAGGTCTGAAAAGACAGAAGAAATCTCTCTTTCTTATTCCTATTTCCAGAACACATGGTCACCTGATGAAAATGATTAGCAATAACATCGGAACAAAATTAATTTTTCATATAATACATACATAGCTTATGGCTTCTCCTCACCACAAGATGTGGTTATCACCACTGGCTGGATGGCATTAAAAAACAAAAGTTGAACTATCTTCTAAATGTCTGCCGAGTGGTAGATATTAGCTAAATGGAACCTCCAATTTCTAAACAGAACCTCCACTTAAAGGTAAAGGTAAAGGGACCCCTGACCATTGGGTCCAGTCGTGGCTGGCTCTGGGGTCGCGGCGCTCATCTCGCTTTATTGGCTGAGGGAGCCGGCGTACAGCTTCTGGGTCAAGTGGCCAGCATGACTAAACTGCTTCTGGCGAACCAGAGCAGCGCACGGAAATGCTGTTTACCTTCCCGCCAGAGCAGTACCTATTTATCTACTTGCACTTTGATGTGCTTTTGAACTGCTAGGTTGGCAGGAGCAGGGACTGAACAATGGAAGCTCACCCCATCACGGGGATTCGAACTGCCGACCTTCTGATTGGCAAGTCCTAGGCTCTGTGGTTGAACCCACAGCGCCACCCGCACCAGGTATTAAATCAAACACACAAGAGGCATGGCTATCATGGGGTAACCTCCTGATAGCAACCATCTAGGACTGCCTCCAGTCTACTTCAGGCTGCCCAAGAAACACCTCTCTTCACTCGAGAAGCCAAAAGCTGTGTCCAGAATGGAAAGGCGTGGGGCATGGGCGTATGCAAGTCATCCAAAGTTCAGGGTTCATATAAGGCCACAGAAGCTTATAGACAGCAGTGACAGCCTTGAGCAGTCACCCAATCAAGGACACAGAAAGCCAGAGTCTGGGAAGACAGGGTGATAGGAATCGCTCTTCCTTGGAGACAAGGCAAAAGTACAAGGCACAAGTCTATTCTAGGAGAGAAATAACTTCTGGTTCTCCCCGCCCTTGCCCCTCGCCCCCCAGTTAAAACGGATCTTTTTTATTTTTCTTGCCCTTGCTTGCTCTCTATAGAACGCTAATGGCAGGCTTCTGCTTCCATGCTCTGCTCCTTCCTGTGATCTAAGCCTTAATGGAACCTGTCACAATTCCAAACCCAGAGTAATCTACTAAAAAGGAATCTTAGATTGTCTGCTAAGGGCACACCTGACTCCCTCGTGGGGCCAAAATTCATAATGAAACAAGACTGTTAACTGTATGAGCGGGATTCAGGACGTCAGAGTAATGTAATACTCTGAAGTGAATGTTCGAAAACTTGCAACATATACAAGTATGCTTTAAAAGCAAGATAATTTATACCTGTCATTCCTAAATCTTTGGAACCACTTTTCAGTGTTGAATGCCAGGTTCCCCAGATGTCGAAATAGTCTTCTGAAGCATCTGCAAAATGAGGAGAAACATAAATGCAGATTATTCTGTAAGAGTCAAACAACGGAAATAGTAGCAAGGTCCCAGAGAATTTTTTAGCCTCCCACAAAGAGCTTGTGCTAACAGAGGCAGGTGTCTACCAGGGGCAATACCTGTTCAGCAGCAGTATCTTAGCAATGAAACTTACCCCATGATTTTTTTACCTAGCACCAAGCTGTGGATCATTATTCAACAGCTGGGGAAAAACTATTTTATTTGCTTAACTGTATCTACTCTACAATAAAGTACTGGCTCCATTCTCTAGAGTGAATTAATTGAAAAACTCAAAACAGGACTGAGCTGGTTTTCAGAAACAGCATGCTAGGCCACTTTAAAGAACTTTCTTTCCAAATAACTGGAGGGAAATGTACTGTCAATCATGTTTAGTATCCAGAAAGTAGAGACCAGAGAAAATTGCACAGAGATTTAACAGCAGATAATACTGGACCAAGTAAGATTTTTGCAACTGGCCATATATACTGTGGAGCATATATCCTGCACTGCCCCCTGCCACAGAGCAACCTCAAAAACAATTCATTCTGACCCACTTTTAATTAAGAGGTCGTATGGATATAGCTTTTTGATGTGTTATATTGGTGAAGGTTTTCAATTACTTCTTTTAAGTGTTGAAATGAATTTTGTACGAATGTGGCTTCTGAAATATCTTTTACTACTGCTTTCAGTGGATTGCAATTTTTGGAAGTGTTTTATTCTTTTTATGTGTATTTCCTTCAGAGGACTCCCCCCCACCCCACCAAAAAAGACAGCCTAGAACTACCGTATTTTTCGCTCTATAGGACGCACCAGACCATAGGACGCACCTTGTTTTAGAGGGGGAGAACAAGAAAAATAAATTCTCTCCCTCTCTGCTCAGCGCCCCTTCAGCGAAGCGGCAGGAGAAACAGAGCCCCTTCCATTTCTCCTCCCGCTTCGCTGAAGGGGCACTGCGCAGCTCTCCCTCTCTGCTGAAGCCAGGAGAGTCTTGCTCTCCCGGCTTCAGCAAAAGGAACCCGAAGCCTCCGGAGGCTTCAGGCGGCTATCCCTGAAGCCTCTGCAGCACAACGCGAGTTCCCGCTGCGCTCCGGGGGCTTCAGGTTCCTTTCGCTGAATCCGGGAGAGTCTTGCTCTCCCGGCTTCAGCAAAAGCAACGCGAAGCCTCTGGAGCGTGGAGGGAGCGCTCCCTCTGTGCTTCGGAGGCTTTGTGTTGCTATCGCTGAAGCCAAGGAGCCTGCATTCGCTCCATAGGATGCATACACATTTCCCCTTAATTTTTGGAGGGGAAAAAGTGCGTCCTATAGTGTGAAAAATACGGTATTTTAAAATATGTAATACACAGCAATAACATCACAGTGCACTGAGAAACATCTAGCTTTTGTGCTGATCGTACCTTTTCCAAACCACGATCCAAGGGAATTCTCTCTTGATTTGGGGTGCAAACTGCTGATCAATGTACATTGCTCTGGTACTTTGAATAACTTTGACTCGGAAGTGAGGGCCATATCGTCTTGCATTGCCAAAAGAGACCTTTCAGAGAGCACTGGAGAGTTGTTGTCATAAGGCGAGATGTCACCACTCGAGGCTCGATTTGAGTCTATGGATGGATGTCGGCCTTCCATGGAGAACGAACCTTCTGACTGGAGCATTTCAGGGATTCTAATAAAGTTTGACACAAAAACAGAAAGTTCAGCCCAGGGAAATCAATGGCACATTTCAACAACAAGTGCGCAATGCAGGTCCACCGCTACTGGGATGAAAGTGCTTCTATAACAATGGAGACTGCTTTCTACACCACATAAGTAAAAAAAAAAAAGCCACTGCCACAATATATCTAAAACAAATCAACAGATGTTTCAAAAAGACAACAACAGAAGTTTTGCAGAATATGTCAGGTGAAATTATAATTCAAACAGAACTCACTTCTTGTGTTAACACTGAAGGTTTTCTCTACAATGTAATTTTTACAATCAAAGGATAAAAAAGGTTCCCTGACCTGTATATGTAATAGTTGTATTTCAGTTTTGGAAAGTAATATAAAATTTGGCAAATTATTATGTAAAGGTAAAGGGACCCCTGACCATTAGGTCCAGTCGTGGCCGACTCTGGGGTTGCGGCGCTCATCTCGCTTTATTGGCCAAGGGAGCCGGCATACAGCTTCCGGGTCATGTGGCCAGCATGACTAAGCCACTTCTGGCGAACCAGAGCAGCGCACGGAGACGCCGTTTACCTTCCCGCCGGAGTGGTACCTATTTATCTACATGCACTTTGAAGTGCTTTCGAACTGCTAGGTGGGAAATGGGAGCTCACCCCGTCACGGGGATTCGAACCACCGACTTTCTGATCAGCAAGTCCTAGGCTCTGTGGTTTAACCCACAGCGCCACCCGCATCGCTAATTATTATGTAGGAGATATCTAATAAAGTGACATAACACAAGAAATGTGGAGGGTGGGGTGAAGGGAAACATTCGTGGAAATACTATACAACAAACTTCCAAGTTACATAAAGTCTTACCTTACCTTGAATAAGCCTTGTCCTTCTTATAAAAAGAATCCCTGATAAAAGCTTAAGATGGACACTGTCTGCTTTATAAGAGATTTAACAAGAAAGCTTTCACCGCCAGTTTTTTGGTTAGTTATATTAGTATACTGATGAAGAATTGAAAATTCATCCTTGCAAATCCAGGTATGTAAGTCGGTGGGCAATCCAGAAATAGATGGTCATTCCAGTAGTGTTAGTAGCAAGCAATATTACATAATGCCCAACACAGCTGAATTTTTTCGTTTCCATCCTGACAGGATATGTAGTAAACATGGAAAGCTTTGTTTTGCACTCCAATAAGAGGAAATGGAAACATCGGCAATCAGTTAAAAGCAGAGGCGAGAAAGCATTGAGTGAAAAGGCCAGAGAGGCACAACGTACACTTTACAAGTAGCAGTCTCAAGACAGCCATCCTGAGAAAGAAGTGTTGGAGTAGTTCTCATATATTTTGCATGGAACCAATTATTTCCATAACTGCTGGACATGTGTTTACTTCACACTGTTGAGTTTCACCATTTTCCTTGTCATTTGTCCAGATTTAAAATCCATAATCAAGTGTAACCAGGATAGTCCCAAGAGATATGTGGTTATAGATTTTGGTGGCTGTTGTTAACTAAATGCGTATCTCACATTCCAACTTCTCATGGGGGGGAGGGACAGCCCAGTTTATTTGTAGCCATTTCTCCAAACGGGAATGGGAACGGGCTATGTCTTATGAGGATCACATTCTTTTCATGTGGAACAATTGTCCCTCTCATCTTCTAGCCAAATTTTTTCCCATGACTTCGCAATGACGGCTGGAAACACGCTAACATTAAAACATATAAAAAGTGATTTCTAGGTACCTCATTATTAATGAAATGAATGGAAAAAGAACAAATTTTACTAGCAGCAGAACAATAGGTTAGTGACAATTCTGTCATAAGTCTCAGACACATACATTTTCCATTGTTGACCTGGGAAGTACAGTGACTGCAATTTGCAACCATCATTTGAACATAGTTTCTTAAGAAAGTGCCATCATGCTTTTCAAAGAAGATTGATAAACACATCTGCATGGAACTCAGCTGCAAGCTACTGGACTGATGACACAACAAAGTGTGTGTGTGTGTGTGTGTGTGTGTGTTTGTGTGTGTGTGTGTGTGAGAGAGAGAGAGAGAGAGAGAGAGAGAGAAGAGAGAGAGAGAGAACTGTTCTGAACTCTGTCCAGGAAACCTTTAAAATGACTGAATGTATAGCTGAGAATGCTATTGAGATTCTAACAGCTGCATTGGCACGCACTAGAAACAAATTAACACGGATATGATCCAAAACTTTCTGTGTGCCCAATACGTGCAAACCATCCTGTACAAGTATATTCCCTACAATGGGGGAGCCAGTTCCTTTTGTGTACACAGTTCTATCCACTTTGCTGAACTGTATAAGGAACATGTATGCATATATTGGAATTTCTGTGCCCTCAGTGAACATCAGGATCACGGCTATGTGAAAGATGAACCCCATCAGCATTCACGAGTACCGATCTAACCAGGCTACTGATTAATACATATCATTGAAGATGCTTAAAAACTCCTGCCATGGAACCAATTAAATTAGTTTATTACAAATTCCTGCCTATTTTATAAGCAAATGGACTATGGAAAATAAACATAAAGACCATTTAATGATTCTAAAGGCACTAGAATCACAACCACTCACATTAAGTTATGAAATAGACACAACTGTTGACAGCACATTCTTGTTCTTTTGAATCAATGTAACAGGGTTTTGAAATTAGACGTTTTTGAATAATTCAGCTAGAAAACACATCCCTGGTGGAAACTATGAAGGAAAAGGAAAACAAATTACTCACGATGACTGAGAAGCTTTCCTTCTCAGCAAATAGTCTACAACATCTGGGTCAGTCTCAAGTAGACTAATCAGAACTTCGTTTTGAAGGTCAGCAGGGACCTATAAATGAATGAAGCATCAGAAAGGTGAGTACAGAATCATGCACCGTTGTACTATATAGTCAAAGGTTAAGCTTCAACAAAATGAAACAAACACACTACAGAACAACTGATCAATGATTACAACTATTTGTGTGAAATAAGTACCGTATTTTTCCGTCTATAAGATTTCCCCCTATTTTGGGGGACTCAGATTTTGGGGACTCAGATTTAAGAAAATGGGGGGAGATATATCCATGTATAAGACCCCCTTAATTTCTGACATTATTTTTTTGGGGGGAAACCTAGTCTTATACATGGAAAAATACGGTATATAAGGAAAGCATTATTATTTAACAACTGCTCTCTCTTTCCACTCATTTCTTCCTTACTATGCATAAGTGCACAGGACTGTGGTTCTAATAATATGAAATAATGGACTGTACACAGTTTGCAGAAAGATTGCTCTTACTGATCGTTCAATAAAATATTGATCAAGTATCAGACAATATTGCTGAATGCATAATTTGTTCTAAAACATCAATACTCATCATGCTTACAAAAAGAACGAGGTGTGCAATGATTTTCATGTCTGTTAAATTGCTCTTCATTTTAAATTTTATTATAAGTAACACATTTTATTTCATTCATGCATATCTGACTTTAATGGGCTGTACAACACCTGGCAGAGACCTGGCATTCATGACTCACACTGGGATGGAATGAACTTGGGAGACAGAACAGCGTGCGCGCGCGCGCGCGCGCGCGCACACACACACACACACACAAACACAATGCTTTCAAGTTTGACTCCTGTTCACAAAAAATTGCCAAATGAGCCTCCATCATCCTGACAGATTATTTAGGATTTTAACACATCCCTGCGGAAAGAATTTTTAATACAGCTCCATGTACTTAAGTTAGAATTTACATGTAGAGTGCACGTATTCTCTATTTTGTTCTGCTGCAACTTTGAAAAATATGTGAAACTGATACCTGACTATTTACTACAGAACTAAAATCAGCAGCAGATTGCTGATCCTAATTCACTGAAGAAACACAAACAACCTGTAGTAATATTATGTATCCATCCTGACAAGCAGAACCATTCTGACCTGACGATAAACCCATGCAGTAGGCCAAATATCACATTCTGTTCTACTGGATTTTATTTCGCATATCTTGCTCCAGTTTCAGTGGTGAAACCGGTCACAGCTGGAGGAACGAAAGAAAACTTGGCAGCAACACACTTAAGTTGTACGCTGTGGATCCACGCTCTCGTCCAAATGTTTCTCTATTTGAAACTAGTGCAAATGTCAAAGTCTTAACTATAAACAGCAGCCCTGGCCTCTTACCACTTCTGGGGTTTGAAAAACAATTTGCTGCTGCTTGATAGGGAACTATCAGCATTTGCTACAAGGAGTCAACACGCCTATATCTGTCAATCGATCTACCACCTTAGCAAAGAATATGAGGGTCCAATTTGCAGACTCACACACCTTGTTGTTCTCTTAGACAAAATGCTGACAGCAAATGAAGAAATAAGCACAAATAGCTCGATATAAGTATATTCCACTATAGCAGCTAAATCGGGGCAGAGGTTTGAGCCAGATCCACTGAAGCAGTTCAGTTCAGTCAATAAACACATTGGCACAAATAGGAAGAATCTCTAGGGAGATGCTTTTCCACTGTACGTATCTGATGTCAAACTGACACACATCCGCAGCACTCTCTAATTATAAACACGTCATTTGAAATGGTACATTGTTCCCTTGCATCCAGCAAGGCACTTAGCTTGGCCTACAAAGAGGCAAAATATTTATCAGCTCCAACAAAATAATAAAACCCGCTCTAAAAAAAGGAAAGAAGACAGACACTGCCCGCACCCTGCAATCTATGACAGATTGTAAGAAAGATGTGGTAGAAAAAGGCTACTACAGCTGCAATGATCCAGTGAATAACTAGCTCAATATTTTAACCCTAGCTCTCCCCCCCCCCACATTAGAGAAATAAAATATCCTTGTTTATTTAAGAGGTTGTGCTCCTGTTAGCTCCTGCTGGCAGACAGAAGGAGAAGCTTCTTTTACTGATCTTCCACTGCAGCAGCCAATATCCCCACACTGTTGAGGACTGAAGGACACTCAGAAACAGTGTAGGGACTGGTGCAGGGGAATCAAGATAAGTTGCCCCCACCCCACAAGCAGGATCCCACCTCGTTATATTTAGAACCTGTCTTTTGGAATTAAAGAATATATCCTTTATGGACTTCAGAAAAGGAAGGTTCTGCATGAACCGAAAGGAGCATCTTAACTCAATTTGTATATTGTGCTTGAAGATTATAGTGAAGGAACAGGAGGCAAGTGAGAAGCCAAAGCAGCCCATGTGTCCTGAAGCCCTCCAGATGTTTTGAACTACAACTCCCAACAGCCCCAGCCAGAACAACTGTGCTCATCAGATTTAGGATGCAATTAGATGAGATGTCAGTGTTCCATGTCAGAAACTCCTGTTTGCTTCTAAAGAAGTTAAAAGCAGACTTTAGTGTTCGGGAAGCAACTTGGTGGAAGGGGGTTTAAACCCATCTTCCCCATGCCATGATGTGGGTTTATGGGAGTTGTAGTCCAACAGCATCTGGAGGGTGGGAGGTTACCAGTCTCTGCCTTAGGCACTTCACTTGTTTCCAGTCAAACACGGTGGCAATACTATTATACTACTACTTTTTGACATTGGTTCAAAAGCAATGTGCAGAATGCAAACTGACTGTGTCGCAATACTATAACACTGCTTTTAAACTTAAGTTTCTTAATTAGAAGTATTTTCAATTGCATTGAACTAAATAAAACATACCCACAAACCCTGCTTTCCCCACAAATATTTATCCACTCCCTCTTGCCTTCTCATCTCATCATACAGCCCCATAAATGTGGGCTGTAGAGTAATGCATTGAAATGTGTTGCTCCATACACTGCCCAAGGGCACTGCTGTGCATCAACATTTGCTATGCAGTATTTAACCCATGGGTGGCGCTGTGGGTTAAACCACAGAGCCTAGGACTTGCCGATCAGAAGGTTGGCGGTTCAAATCTCCGCGATGGGGTGAGCTCCCGTTGCTCGGTCCCTGCTCCTGCCAACCTAGCAGTTTGAAAGCACGTCAAAGTGCAAGTAGATAAATAGGTACCGCTCCGGCGGGAAGGTAAACGGCGTTTCCGTGTGCTGCTCTGGTTTGCCAGAAGCGGCTTAGTCATGCTGGCCACATGACCCGGAAGCTGTATGCCGGCTCCCTTGGCCAATAATGCGAGATGAGCGCCGCAACCCCAGAGTCAGCCACGACTGGACCTAATGGTCAGGGGTCCCTTTACCTTTACCTTTATTAAACCCACAATCAATCAATCAATCAACCAATCAATACTGACAACAAGTGATTCAAAAAAGGAGAAGTCATAGGAATTGAGTCATTTTTCCACTATAAGGAAAACCAGATCATGTATATATAGTTCACAAAATAAAATATTTTTATTCATGTCCAGCATACATTCAATGACATATTTTTCTCTTCCAGAAGCTACAAATAACATTAACTATGTTGGCAATTTCCACTGATCAGATGGAGGTTCTTCAACCAAAGGCTCCCATGGCTGCCACTGCACCATGTAAAAAGTCAACAGCACAAAAAAAACAACAACCCACAAACAAACTCAATCAATCATTTGCTGGAAGAAGGAACCTATTTGTACAGGAAGACACCATGGATATTAACCACAGTTGCCTTCTAACACTTGATTGCTTTAGCTATACTTCAGTTACTTACATAAGGTACCATGTTGCTGTAAGTATTTAATCTTTCTAAGGCTGTACCCAGATGGAGATTTTCCATAGCAACTGTAATATGAAAGTGGAAAGGGGGGTGGGGAAGCTATCTTAGGGTTTGGGCACTTTTGTTCTGTAACAGCTGAAGTGGAGAGAAGGAATTAAATGATACTTCTCACAATGGAAGGATGTAAGAAGCAGACTCTCCCAAGTATCTGCACTGGGACCAATGCCTTATAATTTGTTCATAAATGATCTGGAGATATGGATGAGCAGTGAGGTGGCCAAGTTTGCTGGTGACACCAAATTACTCAGGGTGGTAAAAACAAAAAGGGTTTGCAAGGAACTCAACTGCCTTTACAAAGAGAGACTTCTGCGGCCAAAGCAGCCAGGACCACCCATGTCGTTAGCAAGGGAGGAGGCCAACTCTATCAGTCTCCTCTTGTAAGCATTTCAGTGCCATCAAGATAGCTGTTTGAAGGAAGAACTACATGGCAGCAGCAGCCTTGGCCTCTGGTTTGTAATATCCTCTGCTCTGTGTTAAACAGTATTGGTGCCTGAACTTGTTTTCTCCAGGGAGTACTTCTTCAATAGCACATAGTTAAAAGTATGGAATTTGGTTCAACAAGATGTGGCAATGATCACATAGATGGATTTAAAGAAGGATTAGGCAAATTCATAGAGGATAACACTACTGATGGCTATGCATTACCTCCAGGATTGAAGGCATTAGGCATGTAAACACCAGTCACTGGGTAGGAACAGTGGGAGAAGGCAATTGAATTCATATCATGTTTGTGGACTTCCCATGGGCATTTTGGGGCCACAATAGGAAACAGGAAGCCTTTAGTTTTTGGGATTGTGCCACATGAACTGATCCTTCTAGTCCAGGCAAGGCAAACTCAGCCCTCCAGATGTTTTGGGACTACATTTCCCATCATCCCTGACCACTGGCCCTGTTAGCTAGGGATCATGGGAGTTGTAGTCCCAAAACATCTGGAGGGCCAAGTTTGCCTATGTCTGTTCTAGTCCATTTGGGCTACGAATAATCAGCATCACCCCCTCTTCTGCTTAGCAGGTGTCAGATACAGTTATTGTATTACTTCAAGCTAAGTAATAATGTTATGCAACCATAGTACCCACGTGTGCAAAAGAATGTGCTATCTTGTAGAAGTTTATTGCCAATTAAAAAATACTGGGAAGTGTGCATGAATACTTGTGGGAATATCCCTGGAGCAGAAGAGAAACCTTGATGAAAGATGAGTTTGATGAAAGATGCTTATTTTATATTTACTGCACAGAAAACATGACAGTATGTGGAAACACTAACTGTTGTTTTGAATTTCATTATGAGTTGCTGTTGCACTTTCTACCTCATATGCAAGTGAGCAATAATTTTGTAGTTCCCAAGGCCTTTCTGCTCTAATTGTCAACCTTATAATCCACACTATTCACCTTACCATGGAAGGCCTTCAATGTGTGTGAAGGAACATGCATCCATGTTCATTCTTTTTTTCCTTCTGAACTGAGAAACATCTGCAATTCTTATGGAGCTACTTCTCAAAGAATTGTACTCCACAGGATAAAAACACTTTATGCTAATACATAAGGGATTTTATTTATCAACAACTGAAAATATATGATGCTATCTCAAGTTCATGATGCCAAACTAGTGTTTTGTTTTTTATCTCATGAGATTTTCACCACATATTGACAATAGTCTTTTTCAGCAGTGTTTTGCCGTACATTAAAAAGGCAATGCCACAGCTGATATATAATATATAAATAAAGAGCGCTGCATGTTTTGAAATTAAAGCACAGGAGAAAAGTTATGAAGTGTATTCATAACCTGCAATAATGAAAAATAAAGAAGACTTTGCCTACCATGAAAAGCATTTCATAGTTTTCTATCATCTTTTGTACAACAGCAATGATTGCAGTACTCTCCTCAGCTCGCGCTGTACTTTGAACGGTAAATTCTTTGTCTGTTGTCTTCTGTTTGTGCAACAGGTTAGGTCCAAATATAGTGGCTAGATTAAGTGATGTCATTTTGTTGCCAGGAATCTGGAACAAAACAGAAATAAAGTTGAGTTACCTGATTCTGTGAATGGCTGCCTGGAATTTAGTGCAGGCTGAATTTATTTCTGATAAGCTGCTTTTCAGTGGTCAGGCTCTTCTATACAAATGCCACATAAAGTGGTAAGTTTCCACTCCAGCACCGGTGATTACTGGAAACTTGCACTGCTGAAGTGGAAAACTCCTCTGTGAGGGTATCCCTCCCATATTTATGCTGCAATGCATGAGGTAAGGGAAAGTAATATTTGGAAAGCACAGAACATATCCTAATATTCAACTTCCAAAAGAAATCTATAACCAGAGCACAAATAATCCAAAGGAAATTGTGTACAGTATACTTTATCCATTATTTAAAATTAAAGTTTACAAAACTATTGAAAAGATGAAATAGGAATTGCTAACTTATAATAACTGCAATAAAATTTACCAAGATTAGTATGATTTAGGGAAGGAGAGAGGAGTTAAACACAGCCAATGCTTTGTTTCCAACTAGAATTTCTTTATATATGAAATTTAATCAAAACATTCGGGTTGGAATTTTCATTTTAAAGCATTTCTTTCCCCCCTTTTTTTGTTCGCAATGCAGCAAATATCAAAGCCATTTTTGAAAAATCACTTATTTTGTTGTTAACAATAAAAAATATTAATAAACATGGAAACTGTTAATAAACACAAAGATGCTGTACTGGAAAATGAAGCAAATGGGGGGTGGGGGTGGATTCAGTTCTCTGTTCTTCAGAGCATCCTCCGGAAATAGCCATAGAAAAAATGAATGATCTGAACTTACATCCTGGCTGTCTTGGTCTATCCTGTCTTCTGCATGGCTAGCTACAGTCGCAAGGAACTGGAGGAGTCGATGTAAGGTGTCACAGTTGCAGGGAGGTAGAAGATAAATAAGAAGTTGCAGGGTGCTTAGTTGTTCATGGGGCTCTAATACTAAAAGAGAGGGGGGAAAGTACTCTAAGGAATGTGCTCATGGTTATGTACACAAGGACAGGCATGTTACATATCTCTCAACTGACATGATATTCCTATATAATTTATATCAACTGCAATTAAATGCAGGCAACCCCCAATTTGCTCCTGTTCCACCCCACTCCACCCCCGTCACACCCTCTTCCAGGTCTGAAAACAGCCCATGTGTGCATTGTCGCATGTTCTTTGAACACAAGCAAAACTGGTGTTGCCTGTACAAGAACATAATCTAGAGCTGAGCCAAAACATCTCCCTTTTTGTCAGACAGTTTCTGAGAATTTTCTCTCATTTCGCTAGAAGAAAAGGCCACTTCACAGAATTTCCTCTGACTATTCTTCATCACTGGCCACCAATTCCTCTCTTCTCCCATGACCTGGGATAATGCTAGGTTTGAGCCATTGTGGGGAATGCAAAATGGTAGCCAGGCTGCCACCATGGTTGCTGCAGTTGTCACTTGTTGAGAAAAGAAAATAAGCTTCACCATTGTCACTGATAATATTGAATCCTGTCCCTGAGAATAGGAAGAAAAAATTCAAGAGGCATTCGTGCACAGCTCTAGTCTAGAAAAAACAGGATTCATGTCAACTTGATGAAGCAACAGGTATATTCTAACGGAGTTCATCTCAGGATAACATGAAATCAACATTTGAGGAAGTTTCTAGAGAAAATTCAACTATAGATCACATTTTTACTCTTATTCTAAATCAGTGAGTGGGGCTGAATACAGTATTGTCAGCATTGAGTACAAGTGGACAAAATCATACATTGTCTCTCACATTAGTTCCAGGTAGACAATGGATCCAATATTCCACAAGTGGGAGGCAAGCTTACACAGCAAATCTTTCCCTTCCTCCATTCTGCCCTCCAACACTTGCACTCCCCAAAAAGCTTCTCTACAGGGTCAGGGGTCATTCAGGGAGTAAGGGTTGTGTTGTAAATGGCTGCAGTGGATAGGAGGCATTACTGAAAAATCAGTGAAGAAAATTGTACTCTGCAGGGCTGCAGGAAGGAAAGAAATGAGAGACCTGTAGTCTGTACTTGTGTTTCACTTGCACAATGTTGGCTACAACCCCAAGTGCTTGGCACTACTATTTAAAGATTGGGAAAGCATAATAGCTTTACAAACTGCAGTCAATTTGCATGCACACATGATGAACATTGGCAACTGGCCACGCTTGAGATGCAGTCTAAAACATCTGGACGGCACCAGGTTGAGGAAAGCTGTTTAGGATTAGCCATAGAGGTTCATCAGGAACAGGCAATAAGTATAATGGGAAATAATGGCAGAGCCAACTTTTCTTTTGCCAACTTAAGAATATAGCCATCATCTATTTCACGCTCAGAAATCAAAATACTTTAACTTTGGTGTCCTCGCAACTCTCATTTTACACACCAAGAACTGATTACTTTATCTAGGGACTTCATCCTTAGCCCATACTCCGAACTCCACCCATTAAACCACATTAGGTACTTGGCAGCTGTTTTAAGTTTCCCGCATTTCAAAATTAAATTTAACAAAGTTCATTTAGGAACAAATCATTTCAACTGCACTTTTACACCTTACGCAGAGTTTGTGTGGTGTAGGTTTATAAGGAATCTGTAAAGGAGGAGGTTGCTCTGCTTACGGAGAGTATTGATGAAAGGAGTGTAAAGCTCCCTAGTCAGGAGTGGATCAGGCATGTCACGAAGAAATTCCTTTAACAAAGCAGCCACATCATGAATGCTGTGTTCTTCATCCAACATTACATCCACACCACGGTCAAACTCTTCGCGTAACTGGAAAAATCAACACAAAGGGAAAAGGTCACATCTAGACATCTACATTATTAATCTACAAATCATAAATAAGGGGGGATGATGCATTAGGTTAATACTTTGGAAACTGTGCCATGTTCCACATCTGCTAAGAAAACAGTATAATCTGAGGAAACGGACCAAAGTCTGTATTGTTTTAAGGTGAAATGGAGTGATTTCAGTATTATTAACAGTCAAATGGACACTTTTTGTTAATGATTTCAACGTACACTGTTATTTCATTGTAAGTGACCAACATTCAATTTTGCAGAAACCCTGTTAAGTTTAAATTTAAATTTTAAAAAAGAATAATTAGACAGTACAAAAGTGAAATCCTTTATGAACAATACCCTAGACCATGTCATTGGTTACAATGGTCCTTATAAAGCAAATCTTATCCCTTGTGGGTTTTAAATGGATCTTAAAGACCTCTTTATCAGTGCCTTCAGCAACTAATCAACTAATTTGATCTGAATGGCTGAACTCCACAAGTTGTGCCCACTCTCTTTATTTTATATTATGCAGTATTAGTATCAGTCTTCATGGCTTTTAGCAATGTTTCAAAATATTGTTCTGAGATTTTTGTGGTCATAATTTCCCCCCTAGTATGTTTGATATGTGGCTTGTAAACTGCTTTGTCTAGAAAAGTTACAAAGGCATTATTGTTCTCTTAGACTTTTTAAATATCAGATTCTCAGTATGCGTTAAAGAAAGGGGGGGAAAGGAAGGTGTACTATAGTCTCACCTGTCTTACTCTCTTTTTTGAGCTACCAACTCGGAATATGCCCACTGTCTGAAGGCCTGAAAAATACAACAAATCACTTCTTTCATTATTTAAAGCTTTGGTAGAACATGCATTATCAGAGCATTTTTACATTTTCTGCAGCAAACATCCTATGAATAACTGTATCAACACTCAGGGCTATCACTCCTCCTCCCCATCCACCCCAAACATAAAACCCAAACTTGTCTACAATTCAGAAAAAAGGTAGAATTGGTGAGTACTTTCCTCAGTGAAGCTTGCTGTTATGCATCAATGATTGCTTTTCAGCAACTCGGTGGTAACTATTTAAGGGTGACACTAGAGGGAAGTCTAAGACCTATCTTAACCATAACACACATGTCTCAATTATATAAAAATACTTCAGCCTCAGCTCACTAATGTAGGCATAAAAGTTAAGTGCATAGAGAAAAAAGTTGCCTATGGATGAACTTAGTATTGCACTGGCTCATGCGCTGCTTTCTCCCTGGCAACAGCAGGAGGCTGGAAATGGTAAATGTAGATGTGAACAACTTGCATCCCAAAATTTTTAAAATGCTATTTTGAACACCATTTTAGTTATCTCTTAGTAACAAAGGACAGATACTTCCCCTTTCTATCCTATGACTGGCAGCAGCTCAGGATGTGTATACACCTGAATATTAATGCACCCATGACGGGGTGAGCTCCCGTTGCTCAGTCCCTGCTCCTGCCAACCTAGCAGTTCGAAAGCACGTCAAAGTGTAAGTAGATAAATAGGTACCGCTCAGGCGGGAAGGTAAACGGTGTTTCCGTGCGCTGCTCTGGTTCGCCAGAAGCGGCTTAGTCATGCTGGCCACATGACCCGGAAGCTGTACGCCGGCTCCCTCGGCCAATAAAGCGAGATGAGCGCCGCAACCCCAGAGTCGGTCACGACTGGACCTAATGGTCAGGGGTCCCTTTACCTTTAAGTTGCAATCATTTTATTTCTCCACGTCTACGTTTATCTTTGTTCTTTTACATATAAGTGCTTTCAATTGAACTCTATCTTAGTGTTTTCTGTTGACACTCTAGTGGGCTATGTTTGATGGGATGTATTTGCCCTGTGTGCTACCTTACCCTGCCCTCAATTAGTGCTTCCCTACACTGCCTGAGTTTCATAAACCTTTTGTCCATTTGTAAGTATATGCACAGGTATTCATTTACTTGTGTGTACAACCATTAAAAAAAAGTGAAATACTAGTTTTCTGATATACCACACTTGCACATCTTATTTCTCTTCATTTTATTGTTTACAGGTTGTGTGGGTGGGTGGGTGGGTGCGCGCCCCCCATATCTGGCCCTACTATCAGCCAACAGAGGTGTGATGACAAGTGGTGAATTAAAACAAAGTAAGGATACAGGACACGGGTGGCATCGAGAGGTGGGGGGCGCTGTGGGTTAAACCACAGAGCCTAGGACTTGCCGATCAGAAGGTTGGCGGTTTGAATCCCTGTGACGGGGTGAGCTCCCGTTGCTCGGTCCCTGCTCCTGCCAACCTAGCAGTTCAAAAGCACGTCAAAGTGCAAGTAGATAAATAGGTACCGCTCTGGCGGGAAGGTAAATGGTGTTTCCATGCGCTGCTCTGGTTCGCCAGAAGTGGCTTAGTCATGCTGGCCACACGACCCAGAAGTTGTACGCTGGCTCCCTCGGCCAATAAAGCGAGATGAGCGCCGCAACCCCAGAGTCGGCCACAACTGGACCTAATGGTCAGGGGTCCCTTTACCTTTACCTTTAAGGATACAGGTGGCACTACTGAAATTTCATCAATGCACCATGACAGAGTTATATACTTGGTAAAACACACTTGCTTTTTCTCAAGTAGCATGGGAAACCAAAGTGGCATTATCCATGTCTGTCACAGATGTATAATCTGCCTTCAGCACTTTTGGATCTTTTAGATTAAAAAAAAAGAATGAAGGAATAGGCTACATGAAGGTAAAGCTGAAGTAGACATAAGGTTGAAGTAGGCATAAATACAAGTACAAATTTTGCCTTCTGCTGTGTTGGATGGATACGTGTCTCCCAACAGATCGGCAACTATAATTTGAAACTTGTGGAGAATGTATCGTGGTACCTTGGTTCTCAAACGCCATGGTACTCAAACAACTTGGAACCCAAACACTGCAAACCTGGAAGTAAGTGTTCCGGTTTGCGAACTTTTTTCGAAAACTGAACATGCTCCATTTTGAGTGTTACACTTCTGTTTTGAGTGTTACGCTGAGGTCTGTCTCTTTTTGCTATTTATTTTGCATTTTTGTGGCTCTTTTTTCTTTTGTTTCTGTGACTGTGTAGAACCCAGTTCCGCTACTGATTGATTGTGTGACTGCAATATATTATTTATTGCTTTCATTTTATGGATCAATGGTCTTGTTATATAGTAAAATTCATGTTAAATTGCTGTTTTAGGGGTTGTTTTTAAAAGTCTGGAATGGATTGATCCATTTTGCATTACTTTCTATGGGAAAGCGCGCCTTGGTTTTGGAACGCTTTGGTTTTGGAAAGGACTTCCGGAATGGATTAAGTTTGAGAACCAAGGTAGCACTGTAATCCATTATGTATTGAAATGTCCCCTTTATGAGGGTCCAAAGGAAATAAGATTTTTCAAGTTTAACAAGAAGTTCTGATCAAGTAATTATCTACTTTTTGTCAGGAGTTATTTATCTGTTTGTGACATATAAAACATCACTGTTCCCTTTAGCTGCAAAGAAACTTTAAATGGAAAAAAGTTGTGTTGGGTTTTTTTTATTGTATTGGGTAAAAGGTTTTAGTATAACTATACTGTCTTTTAACTGTTATCTTATTATTTATCTTTATTTCATTGTTTGTATATCTGAAGTTTTATTTTAAAAGTCGTCAAGGCCAATGGCTAGTACAATAAATACAAGATGGTCTGTCGCCTACCTTTCATTGCCAGGTTGAATCATACTTACCATGTTTTTCTAAATGCTGGCAGCAGCTGTCCACAACTCGAGGAACCTGCCTGTAAATAGGATTAAGGCTTAGTTTCTTGTCCCTGGACTTTTCTTTTTTGCTCTGGGCTTCAGCAGGCAATGACAGCTGCAGGGCTTCTAGCAGTCGAGATTGACTGTCATCAAGATCCGTAATGGAGTCCACAGACATTGCACCCTGCAACATACACAAAGACATACAATCAACATGGGTTTTGGTGGGAGAGAATTCCATTTGTAGTCTTCCTTCACAGCAGACATAGCCATGAATAAAAATAGCTCCAAAAACACATGGGACAGATTCTTACATAAACAGAAAACAGGAAAGTCAATTCTGAATCAAGATGGTGTTCTGAAACGTGACTTTGTTACGACTTTGCCCTATTCTTGGCACGATGGGTCCAAGCTACACTGATTTGGATGCCTCTGAAGATATCATCACCCAACTCAACACAAGGATTCCTGAGGGGGAGGCAGCTCGGTTTTAAACTTCAATTTTTATTTTTTTTCTACAACTTTTGCAATGTTGTTTGTCCTCTTGAACTGAGCCATGCAAAACAATCAATGAAAAAGACTATTCAGATTTTAGAACTATTCCTCCTTTTAATTAAACAGCAGGCACTGATGTCAAAAATATCAAAACAAGGTTGGCGTTAACGCCTTGCAGCAGCCCTTTCCTTATTTTGTTTGAAATGACCTTTAAAGATGACAGCATTTATTTAGCCACTGAAGCTATTTCACCGACAAAAGGAAGGAAAGACTCTGCTTGGCTTTTAAAGGAATGGAAGCACCCTTGGTTTCTGTTCAGTCTTGAAGTATTAGAGAGCACTAACAATATATCAAATAGCAGGAAAATGTACTGCCAAGGGATGGAGTGATGTAAATAGCTGTGAGAAGAGGGATGGTCACATCACAAAGGCACTGAAGGCTTCTTTTTTCAAACTGCAATAAATTTGTTTTGCTCTATATATTTCCTAATAAGAATATACATGGGGACAAGAGAGGGCTTTTTATTAGAATAGCCATGCCCCCACCCAAAACCTCAAAAGTCTTCAATTTTAAGCTTTCATGTCTTGCTCAAAGTGGTTCAGAAGGAAAAAGCAGGCACATCCACACAATTGTTTGTTCAGTTGTGGGGCATTATTACAGAAGGCTATCATACCCATTCTGCAAAGATACAGTATAAGACAGAGTTGTGTGGTTGGGACAGAAAGGAGTTTGTTTTGCATCCATTAAAGCTAAATCTACCTTACATACAACAACCTTTTCTGCAGTAGTAGTCACTGTAATCAACTGAGCCAACTTAAAAGAAGACGTGATTTAAAATAATATAACTACGGATGCTCACTTCAATTTCTAATTTGTTTCTTATTTGTTCACATGGTCCAAGAGTGTGTCAAAGCAGCAGAAGTCAAAAACTCCTAGGAAAACGAGAAGCTCTTGATTCCTGAGGAATCAAGCGATTATGTAAGCCAGGAATGGATAACCTGTGCTCTCCCACCAGATGTTGTTAGATCCCAAGTTCCATCATCCTTGACCAATCATCATGCTTGCTGGGAATGATGGGAGCTGGAGTCCAGCAAGAGCTGGAGGACCACAGGAGCTGATGTCAACAGAAGGAAGGTGATTATTTCTGGTCTGCAAAGTCTCACGTTCCCAACAGAAGCACAGTGTGACTTGTGTATAGCCCACAAAGACCAGCACAGTAGGCGTGTGATCAAATACTTTGGGATTCCTAGACCTCTCTGTCAGTATAACAACCAACAATACAGTGGTACCTCAGGTTAAGTACTTAATTCGTTCCGGAGGTCTGTTCGTAACCTGAAACTGTTCTTAACCTGAAGCACCACTTTAGCTAATGGGACCTCCTGCTGCCGCTGCACCGCCGTAGCATGATTTCTGTTCTCATCCTGAAGCAAAGTTCTTAACCTGAGGTAATATTTCTGGGTTAGCGGAGTCTGTAACCTGAAGCGTCTGTAACCTGAAGCATATGTAACCCGAAGTACCACTGTACCTCTGAATTACCCCAACACTAGTTGTGTAAAGAAGCCCTTGCTTAACGAAAGACAACCGTTTATGAGCTTCTCCGCATAAAATCATGTCAAAGCAGGGTTATGAAACATAATCTAAATCTAAAACCGACATCCTCCCTGATGTCAGTAAGTGCCTCCTCACTAGTCCCCAAGAACTAAACCAGAGGCTTAGCATAAAAAAGTGAGACAGCTGCGAAGCAGCGCTTGCAGGCAGGCGGAATTAGGAGAAAGCCACGGTGAATGAGAACACTCAAGACACATCTGTACTAGGACGCCTACACGTGCTGTGCCGTACTGAGCTGAATGTTTGTTTTGGATGTGTTGCCTGGCAATGGAAGGCATTCATTTTATAAAATAAACTTCTGAAAGGCTTGTTAAAAAACACAATTGTGCGAGCACAGAAGAGAACATTTTTTCAGCTCGCTGTCAAGCATAAAGGGGAAGGGTGGGGGGTCGGGGGTTGGCTACGAAGGCTGCTTAGGACGGCGTGGGTTGACCATGAATCAAGTCACTGCACTGTACTCACATCCTCACAGAGAGGAACAATACTGAGTGGTTCATTGTGCTGCACAAAGGAACACCCCACAAAGAAAAATGAAGGCATAATCTGCTTGGAAGGCAAACCATTTTTCAAGTGTGTTTTTTTCATGTTTCACGTACATACTAGCAGTTCCACTGAAAGAATGCTCACTCCCAGTAACCAGCTTGGGACAGCTTACCAAAGCAAAATACCGTGGTCTGAAAAATGTCAAGGCCAGCAGTGAACCTTAAGGTTACCAAAGGACCAATCTCAGGGAGCGTGAAGTCCAGATATGCACTCAATTTCAAGGTGACTTTCAATATGACACGGACTGCTGGCGTATGTTGACAGGACTGGAAAGAGGGACATTCCAGGATGATTTATGCTCAGAAATGGAAAGAAGATTCTGTACCAACCAAGAAGGAAGACTAAATTAACGGACTGTGCTGAAATGGAACAGCTTTATAAAAGACTGGGGAGAATGTGTGGATTATTTGAAATGTCATAGTACACATATAAGATCACCAGCAGGATTAACTTAAACCAAACAGTTAATGATAAAAGATCACTAGGGATAAATTATTAATTGCAGTAATGTAGGAGATGCAGTGATACAAATTTAAAAAATTATAAGAAATGGCAAAAGGAGTGGAGGAAAGTCAAAAAATACATATTTGTTGGGAAATACAGGATTGTTTTTATGTCAAAATATCTCTGGGGGAAAAAATATTTTTTTAAAAAAGGAGAGAAGGACATATACAGTCACCTCAATGGTACCTGATTCTGTCTGACTGCATTAACTAGTTACTGCTTTAAGCTACCTTGCTATCTGTTTTGGTGTTTTTAGTTGACGTTCTAATTTTGTCTTAGTCATTTTATTGCTGCGTCATTCATTGTGTTGTTATTTTTAATTGTTAACTGTCTTGGGAGCCATCTGGAAAGCCAGACAAAAAGATACAAATATAAACAATGAATAAAATAATCTGTGGCAGCCACAAAAATAACCTCGATGGTACAAAGCCTCATCAAGTGCATCCACCACATCAGGAAGCTGCTTATTAATATACCCTGCGCATGCATGTGGGCGAGAGCAGTCTTTGGGTGTCATCAAGAGCCTGGTTAGTTCCACCTGCCTTATCCCACTCCTCCGTTCCAGGAGAAGTTGTAGCTGGAAGAAACTGCAGAGGGACATGTGCACGCAAGCGCACACACACACACACACACACACACACGAATGTCCCTGGTTGGGAGGCAGGGCATGGTGTGCAAGGCTGACACAGGTGGGTTAGGAAGGTCAACCAGGGTGTGAAGTGGGCTACCAAACCAGTTTGTTGCATTTTGGAAAACTCTCATCACTGAGCTAATTGTTTATGGTGCCTTTAATATCAATGCAGAGGTTTTGATTTGCTTCGTTTTTTGAGACACCCCCCCCCCCCCGGGCTTTGCATTACTAAGGACTTATTGCAACACTGATGTGTTTTGAAATGTACTGCTGAAGTGAGTACTGAAATGCTTTTTTTTTTTGCTTTAATATATTGCTGCTGTTGTGTGCTTTGTATATTGCGATCTGCCCTTGAACACAGATTTCCTTGGTGAAAAATGATACACAAATAAATACTTCATCCCAGTGAATTTATCTTCCTAAAAGCACGGTAACACTTTTAAATTGTGAGCCACACAAACTTGCACCAGGGATGGGGATCATATAGCTTGCCTGATTCCTGTTTAAGGCAATTTAGGAAATCAGAGTAAAGACTGTATTATAATATTAGTACAGTGGTACCTTGGGTTACATACGCTTCAGGTTACAGACTCCGCTAACCCTGAAGTAGTGCCTTGGGTTAAGAACTTTGCTTCAGGATGAGAAGAGAAATCGTGCTCCGGCGGTGCGGCAGCAGCAAGAGGCCCCATTAGCTAAAGTGGTGCTTCAGGTTAAGAACAGTTTCAGGTTAAGTATGGACCTCTGGAACGAATTAAGTACTTAACCCGAGGTACCACTGTAATACTTTTAAGAATGCATATCATATAGGGAAACAGTCACACTAAGCAAGCTTATCCCTACCAAACCCAGTTTTAGCTAATCGTAAGAACAGTGTGCTGCCCAAGACCACAAGTTTTCAAAATTTATCCCGAGTGATACAATTAATAACAGTTTAGGTTGTTTTTGACACCCTCTCCCCTAAACAATGGAGAAGTATTACACTTGGGCCAGATTTAGAAGGCTGTCCAGGGGGCACTTCTCACAGGCTGTCTACTCAAGTTGTCTGAGTGATTCTGATCAGATCCATGCATGCAAATATATCTATCACCTTACACAGCAGAGATAAATCAAGGCAAATATTTGTATCAAAGACATAAAACGGGGGGAAATGTAAATAAAAATGGGGAATTCAAACACAGAACAAATGGAAGCAGGTGCTGAAGATTCACCTCACCTAGGAACACCATTTGATCCATGGCCAGACCTGAAGAAATATATTTTTTCAACTTAAAAAAATAATAATATTGCCCTCAACTCACTTTAAAAATGCAGCTGTACCGAGAGTCTCACGGCTAACCAATGCAAAGTTAATTAAGTTAGATTCATACTGGAACCAGCAGAACTGCAGCAGCCCATTAATAACTTGTTTCATTGTTAGGCTGTGAAATCTTCTCCTTAGCTATAATGAAAGTACAACGTAAGATTCGTCACTCTCAAAATACAATGCCAACTGGCTTTAAGCATAGAGGATGAATGCTCGGATGAAGATAAAATGGAAATTGGATTTTTATTATTTTTCTCCAAGTGCTGGAAATGGCTTGTCCGGCTTTCAGAAAACAGGATTTAGCAGCGGGGGGTGCAGAAATGTTACTTCACCTTACTTCTTTTGTCTGTGAGATTTCCAAATGGAACATTGCTGTTTTGATACAATCTTATGGCTTAAATGCCTTTAAGTATTTCTGTAGTCGCTTGCTTGCTTGCTTTAAGGGGGCAATCCTAACCCCGGTCTCTACTGAGAGGGGAGCAGGAAGGCTAGCACAGGCCAAAGACCAGAATGGGATCCACTGGAACCCAAGTCATCTCAGCCCCTCCTGACCCTCAGTATGCTTTGTTTTGGTGCTTTCTGCTGGCAGGGATCCTGCCACCAACACTTCCAACCACCTATTTGGCTGAGAGAAGGTAAAAGTTTATGCCAGAGTGATAATGGTATCACTCCACAGGTGGCACCTAGTCAGAGGCAGGGCAGAACAATATTTCTGCTCATTCTAGCCCCTGCCCTTAATAATAATAATAATAATAATAATAATAATAATAATAATAATAATAATAATAGTAATAAATTTATTTGTACCACATCCATCTGACTGGGTTTTCCCAGCCACTCTGGGCAGCCTCCAACATATATAAAAACATAATAAAACATTAAACCTTAAAAACATTCAACTGACACACAAGGGGGTTTGGACTGCTCTGCCCATGAATCACATCAAAAGCACAGGAGCAACAGCCATGTTAATGAAGTTCAAGTTTCTCTGTAAATAGAATATTTATGTCATAGTTTTTAAAATATATATATTTAATGCACCTCCTTAAAGTGAGGGTTTCTTTAAAGAAAAACTGCCCACCCGAAAACAAGTAAATAAATACGTTTTACAAAAAAACTATTTTAACCGTGACTGCATTTTTGTAATGCACCAAGTATTCAATACATACGTTTTACTGTACCTTTATCTTTGTTTTTTTCCTTTCCAAGGGAATCCAGTTTCTTTCGTAATGATTTCTTCCTCTTTTGTCCATCTACAAATAAAAACATTTGTTATATTTTAAGGAGAGGAAAAAGTGCTAAGGTAAAAGAACGCAGCAGAACTGATATTGAACAATAACTAGTCCCCCACGACAAGAGCATATAGATTTTCTTTTATTAAAAAAACCCACACCATCCAAATGAGGTCTTGCCTACAAACCCTTCACCTGATTATAATACCAAAGGACATGGATACTTACTTCTAGAAGAGTTAATATAATATTACAGTTCTTAAAGAAGAATGAATCTTTGCCTAGGAAAATACATGTGTGGAGTGCTATTTTGCTACAACTTTTGAGAAACTGATTTTGTGTGTGTTTGTGTGTGTGTGTGTGTGTGTGTGTGTGTATACACACCCATGTACCTGAAGATTGGGTCAATCAGGTGAATGTCTTTTTTATTTCAAATATTTATATGCCACTAAATACTCAGAATTTCTAAGTGCTGTACATAAAATGCTTTTTTAAAAATAAGAAAAATTGAAATTAATCTTAAAAATAGAAAACTATGTTAACATGCCTGCTGAAATATATCTAGCCCGGATCTTTAATCCATCTAAAGGTTATACTTATTATATGCTCACAGCAATGAAATCTTGACAAGGTGTTTCAAAGGGCAAACACAGGAAAGCAATTTATCAGGGACCAAAGATTTAAAGCACTCGTTGGTAAAGTTCATGGTAAGAATGGTATCTTTCACCAAAATACTTTCTTATCTTTTGCACACCTGAATTTTCATTGACTTTGGGGGGTGGACAACCAATGTGTCTACTCCACTAGCTCCTCGAGGTTTCCACAGAGTCCCTCACTACTTTCTGAAGAAGCACTTGGGGGTCATTCCACATCAAATCAAAGCAAAAAACAAGGGTTTCGCCACCCACCGTCTAGGATTTTGATGAAACTTGGTGTACACCCTTCCCTTATGGTTGAAAGAAACCCCCTTAAATTTTTTCCCTCTATCTCAAACTGTTTTAAATTTATAGCACTTCAAAGTTTCGTGAAATCTGTGTTTCTGTCCCTCTTGAGATCCTTGGCCTTGTATGCATTGAACTGATGTAGAATGACCCTTGGGAGAGCTTTGCAACCCTCAAGAGCATGGCCTTCCTTTTCATACTCAGATCAAAGCAGCCTCACATGTTGCCATACAGCATGATGCTGTGTGGCAGGGCACTGCACTACAAATCTCCCTCCTACCTGCACGTAGCTCAACTGACCAAACCAAACACGATTACACGGTTGGGGAGGGTCATGCCCACTCATGCCCCTGAAAGATACTCCAAGAGAATCCTGCTCTCATTGTTGTAGCCTTTCAAGCCTTGAGGACTGGATGTTGGCAGATCATTAACAAAACATATATGCATATTCCAAACCCTGGCTGGTAAAACATCATGGTTTAATTGCTACTCACACCAGAAGGTAGGTAGCGGCCGCAGTCAAATCACCGACCCAGCCTGGAGTGCAAATTGGCCTGTGATGACAGTAGGTTTGGCTTCAGCCGTGCTTCCTGACCCTGCTGGTTTTTGCCCTGGCTGGCATGAGCAACAGGATTGCAGATGCAGTGGTGGTACTGCGGCTTTGTTAAGCCCTCCCTGATGCTCCCAAATCAGGGATTCGATTGCAGCGTCAAAAAATAACAACAGGTCATATGCAAAATCTCTGATGTTATGTCAGAGAATGTGAATTCATCTTCCGGTCATTATGAGAAGACCATCAAACAAGCTTCCATTTCAAAGCAGGAAACTAAAAATGGGCAGAACTTTACAGCTCTATCTAATTATGAAAAGCTGTAACCGAAACAGTAATATAGTCTTTTTACCCAAATATTAGCGTATCTGGGAACCTTTCATGCCTGCCAAGGTGAAAAGAAGGGGCAGGTTAACTTGATAGCAGTGGACTGGGCCAGCAAGGGCAGTGGGTAGGATCCAAGGTACTTCACACACTTTCTCTCCCACCAGCCCTCTTTCCCCTGCTGGGAAACCACAGAAACAGAGAATTGTAGAGTTGGAAGGTACCCCAAGGGCCATCTACTGGTAAGTCCACCCCCCCCCCCTGCAATGCAGGAATACAGTTAAACCTTTCCTCAGCTGGTTAAATCTTGCCTCTCCTGTGATTCCCATGAGGACTGGCCCCATGATGCTATTATGCTTTTTTCTAAACTTAACAGCAACATGGGAGAGTAGGGGAATTTCCATCAGAATTGTGGGAAGCAGTGTGAAAGATTAAAACTTTCCTCTCCCTGTAGTGCGCCTTGTGCTGCTCAGCTGACTGGGGAACAACAGAGAGTAGTGAAAAAGGAACTGGGCTGCAGAAAAACGTTGATCTTTCTCCAGAGCCCCCTTTCTTCGTGCTGCTTGGCTGATCAGTGGGAGGGAAGTTGTGGGTCACCTAAGATTAGGCAATGGGCCAGGAACAGCCCAGGGAGTACAAAATACAACTTCTGAACAAGAAATAGAATATACTGACTGGAAAATATGTGTACTGTCCAGAGAAGGTACAAAATGTGGTCAAGACACGCATTCCTCAAGGCCTCTTGGAGATTATACATAATGGCTGGAGAACATACAACATTGGGTTGAAAAATGCATATTTCCCAAGGTCTGTTGAATATTATGTCTATTAACTAGGAAATGTGCATAATTACTTCTTCATGGAAGGTGAATATGCATAATGACTAATCGCTATGCACATTAACTGCTCAATTTACATTCTTCTTAACATGTGTGTGTGTGTGTGTGTGTGTGCGCGCGCGCATGTTAATATGAACATACTATTCCAGTCCTACAAGTGAAATGGACTGGGTGGGGGGAGACATAGAGACAGAGAAAGAGTGAATACATATTCAAATGTGTAAAGTATCTGTTCACAAAATTAATAAATAATACGTTAGAAGTAACAAGCACATACAACTTTAAGCAGCAAACCTAATCCCCGTGGAATAAGTCACCATTAGCTCTCAAGTAAACATGTTTATTATAGCATCTATTGTCACCTAATAATAAGTTTCCACAGTTCTTTAAGATATTGTAAAGGAAGACTTGTGCAGCTCAGTTGACAAGTTTCTTCTTGCATCAGTGCAAGTCAATGGTCGGCTATCACTTCCTGAAGCATTTTTGTAAATTGTCTGCCATAAAACGGTATTTTACTTTCAACACATGTATTAGCACAATTCAGTCACTGAAACTAGGTGCCTGTTTTAACATGTCAGCTAACTTTCTAAAGTGTAGTAGACCTACAGCTGTTTTGTATAGTATACTGGATTAAATAATCCATTAAATCTTATTGTTCCAATTTTATACTATTGTATAAGACAGTAACAAAGCTACACTAACTTAGACCAAGAGAATATTTAACTGTTTCAGTTTTTAGGTCAGGGCTGTACAACTTAAGACTGCAAGTGGAAGCTAGATGATCAAATGCTATCCATAGGAAACAAACAAACAAACAAACAAACAAACTGAACTTCAAGTACCAAATATATCCAATGTTTTATTAACGACACACCTCAGATGGTGAAGAATACAAGAGCTGCCATGCGATGTCAGGCAGATGTTCACCAAACCTTAAATTATGAGCCCAACCCATTGTGAACCCGGAAAGTTCAAGTGCAGGGCATGGTAGGAAGAACCGTGCCTTTGGGTTGCCCTCAGCATTTGATAAATGAAAGTGCATTTCCTGAGCACAGAGAGATTTCAAGTCTATGGACACAACTGGGATTGAAGCTCATGTTTTCCTCCAAAACCAGTAAGGTAGAAAAGGGTTGTGCCAAACTCTTTCTCCTCTCACATGCTCACTTTCCACTGCAAACTTCCTCCCTTCCAGTTTAATTTCCCCCATATGAACAAGAAATCTAGTCTCTAAGGTAAGCTAAGGGAAAGGTACTGCCTAGAAAAATAGAAGTTGGTAGTGTAGTAGTTAAGGATGTCCAAGGATGTCTACCACAACTCCGAACAGAGGGGCTAACAGGGGGTTGAGAATCCCAAGTTCTGTAGTTTTGTCCCCAATGACATGGACAAATAGCCATTGGGAACTTTTCCTTCTTTGATTAGACAAGGAGAGGGCTTAATGCACCAAAACATACCATGGAATATGATCAAGAATGTGCATGCTTTTAACTGATCAAATATTAACTAGGTACAAGCTACTGAAGTTCAGTATTGAAAAACTACGGTACCATAACGTTCCTGTTGCTTGGCAGCTGGGGCTGGCTGCCCACAAGTTTGCTTTTAAAATTCCATCTACTTTCTGCCACTCAATGTTTCAATTCTATATTTTTAAATGCAGAAAAGAGCTTTTCTTCTGGTTGCTTCAATTTAAGAGTTTCTGCTAGCTCCAACAGAATCAACGTTATGTTTGTTGAAAGCAAATGTTATCATTTAATTGAAACGTAATTCCTCCTCTTTGATCCATTTGCACTGACTGGGTTTTATCTGATTGAAAATTTGTACAAATATTCTACACGGCTTCATGTTCTGATAGCAATACAACACAGAAAAATGAATGCTTCTATTGTTCACTGAAATGGTTACTCTTCAAACATAGTTCCCCTGTATCTCCTGTTGTTTGCCAATTTGAAATACAGATAAAAGTTATCTAGAACACGGAATGGCCCAACAGACTTTTAGACCAGGCATATAACACAAAAAGGACAGGCTTATTGGGTTTGAAACTGATGCTTCACTCAGTATTGCTGTTACCCCTTCATCATAAATTCATATATAGGCATTTAAATATACACAGTTAACATGAAATCCACAAAACCTTCTTTAATACAGCTGCTTTCCAAAATCACTATGCAATTCCATTCCTAATAAAGATTATTATCCTTATGGAGAACCAGTAGAGAGATACTTAATCTTTGAACTAAAACTCGAAACATCATTATACTAGAAAAAAATATGCAAGGAAACTGGAACACAGAAAACTCTGAGTCTATTAAATAAATTACAAGTTTCTTTTTCTCGGTTTAACAACTAGTGACCTCGTGAAATTGCTAT